AAGTTAAAAAATATATATATATATTTTTTTTTTGTAAATAATCTATATTTTATTTCTTAGCTTTAATTCAGTCTTGGTTTGAATTTTTTAAAAATGATTAAAAATGTAAACATTGTTTAGTAATCATGGGAAAAGCATGGCATCTTGTTGACATGACTTGCATTCTGTTACTCTTTTTGTTGTTTAAATGTTAAAGTGACACTTTCTTTATCTTTGTCGTTCAGGTACGGATCTGTTCCCTCAGAGGACGTCTTTCCCGTCTCTCTCTCCATTAACGGCTCCTCGTTTCTCTGATTCACACATGCATTATCCGGGTCCCTTCACCTACTCTGCCAACCCGTCCAGCACTGGAATCGGTGGTCTCAGCGTGGCCGGGATGCCCACCTCCAGCCGCTACCACACCTACCTTCCGCCTCCATACCCTGGCAACCAGAACCAGAACTCCCACTTCCAGACCAACTCCTCAACTTCAATTCAATCTTGTTCTACATTTTTTTTTTTATATTTTAATTTAAACATTATTTAAATTAAATTTAAAAAATGTAAACACTATTTAGTAATCATGGGAAAAGCATGAAAATGTTTTGGCCAAAATATGTGGACATATCATTACTCTTTTTGTTGTATATATATATTGTTAAAATTCTTAGTATTATAAGTCTTGTTGTCATTATTGTGGAAAAATAACTATTTTAATTGCATATCATTTAAATTTACAAAAAAATAGGCATAATTTTTAATGCAAACATTACCTTCCGCCTCCATACCCTGGCAACCAGAACCAGAACTCCCACTTCCAGACCAACTCCTCGCCGTACCACCTGTACTACGGCACCGGATCCGGCTCCTACCAGTTCTCCATGGTTCCGACCGGCGGCACCGGATCGGGAGGCGACAGGTCGCCCACCCGCATGCTGACGTCCTGTATCGCGGCGGGCGGAGCCGGAGGCGGAAACAACAGCCTGCTCAACGCCAGCCTCGGCAACCAGAGCGACGGTGTGGATGCCGACGGCAGCCACAGCAACTCGCCCACAGCAATGAGTGCATCGACACGCATAGACGAGTCCGTCTGGAGGCCTTACTGAGAAATAGTGTGCAGAAAGACTGAAGAGGTGGAAATTAAGAGAACAGGTGATAAGTCTTGCATGCTTGATCGTTTAATTGCTTCTATGACATGTCAATCGCTTCTAAGACAACCAAAGTGATCCAGTGACCAGAAATGAGAGAGCTTTTGCTCTGGATGCTCCATACGGGATCAAAACTAAAGGAGGACACAAGTCTCACAGGGAAAATCAGGTGTATATAGAAAGATTATAATTAAAAAATAATAAGAAAAGGCATCCCATAGTAATATATCAGCAACTTTTCTTACTAAAAAAGCTGAAAAACCAAAGAAAAGAAAGGCAGGTGCTTCAAGGACATATTCTGATGAGCCTGTCTCTGAAAAAAAGCCAATTCATCCAGCCTTACAAACCAATCTGCCTGAAAGCTGTAATTCCCAGAGTGCTTTGCAACCACAAAAACGTGTCGTGCAAACAATATGAAAGAGCTTCACAGAGCTGCAGGACTGTGGGACTTTCAATGTGTAAATATGATGATAAACAAAAATGCTTCCCACAAGTTTCAGGTACTTTCCAAACTTGAAATGATGAGATGTGATCATTGAATACAAGTGTGGGTCAGTGTGAGCTTTGTGAGATGTTATGCCAATGGGTTTTTCATTCAAACGGATTTTAGGGTGAATATCACAAAACCTGTCAGGAACATATTCAGGTCATATTTAATGAGAAATGAGAAATTATATTTTGCATGAAGAAAATGATGCTTAAATTAGAACCATTCATTTTGCATTTGCATTGTGGCTCTGTTTTCATCACAACGAAGCACATTTGACCCTTACACTCTTACTATTGTAATGCAAAAAAAGTTTTCTCATTACTGTAATGTAAAAAAAAGGATATATTATTTCATTTGCAAAGCATTTAAATTTACATAAATCTAGGCATCATGTTCGTTATGCAAAAATATTTTTTGCTTTGATTTTAGGGCGAAATGTGATCTAGATGTGTTTTCGTGAGATTCACCCGTTTAGAGGTTCTCGATATGTAGAAACGTAAAACAGTGTCTATCATCCAAAGACATACAGGTGTTTCTTTTTTTTTCTCTCTTTTGTTTCTTGCTTGCCAATATCACGAACAATTAATTTGCCTTTGAACTTGTGGAGACTCGTCGTTTTTTGTTTTTTTTTCCTCAGTGTTGATCACTTTTTATGACTTTCTTCAGATTTGTTTGAGCTCAGTTTGATGTTTTGTGTATTTTTTTAATTTTGTATTTATTTGAGCCAAAGAGGACGTGTTTCCGGGTCACAAACATTTCGCTTTTTTTTTTGTTTTGTTTTTTCTACTGTTCTTTTTTTTTTATTTCTTTGTTTTAATATAAAATTGGAAGTTGTGCTACTGTAATATATTCTTTCTAAATTATACAAAAATTTTAATGTAATGTCTATGTTTTTCCAATGCAGCTTTAATGCACTAAAACATTTATTTAAGAGGTTCTATGTCCTTGTTAAACCACATAATGGAGACATTCTTACCAGATTGAGTTCCACGTGATATTTAGTCATGTGCCTGAAAGGCCTCAACCATCTCAAGCCAAAGAGTCCAACAATCACCTGTTGTCATTCCACATCTCTAAAGTGTGAAAAAGATGTTGCTCTAAGCACCTACATTATGTGTCTATTTTTCCTACCTTGTTCTTGGAATGACTGAAATCAGAGACAATAATTGGGCACGTTTGAAAGGAGATCGGCCTTGATTATTTGAATAACAAAACCATGCACAAGCTCATAGACAGAGGGTAAAGTGGCTATCACACACACACACACACACACACACACACACACACACATACATTCAGGTAACAGGTGTAAGTGAATATTTCAGCCCATAACCCAGAGGTTTTTCCCATGCTCACACCTGCTGCCATCACCTGAGGGCCGAGAGCCCCAAAAAGAGCAAAGGAAACAGGTAGAAAGATGGATGAAGAGAGACGTATCTCCTTTCGCAATCATCGGTCATCCTTCAGGCCTTGTTATCCAAGCAGAAGTGGCCGTGTTCAGCTTGATTCACGGCCGCTTTGATGCCTTTATGTGGGCGGTTATTTTCCGTCCCATTGTGCCTCTGCTTGATTATCGCCTAAAGCTGCAGGCTACAGGAAAGATGGATTCAAAATGTGAGCTGGTCTAGTTACAAGCAGGAGTCGATTCTCTCCTGCAAGGACTTCTGGGTAATAGAAACCCTACTTGCTTCTGCAATTCTGACGTGTCGTATGATGATTCTCTCTCAGTGCCTCGGTCTGGATCTATTTATGTCTGTGGCTATCAAATCCTGTAACAGTCGTATTTTCACCAAAGAGTTTGTTGTGATCGTTGATTATGACTGAGATGGATCAAGAATCCAAATCAAGCTAAATTAAGATTTGCTGGCCCAAAACAAGACCAAAAACATATCTATTTATTTCCACAGTATCAGTACTGATCGTTATTGTGTGTTGCCTTGAACAGTCTATTGACTTTAAGGTTCTGTTCCAAAACCTAACTCTTAAAAATAAAGGTTCTTTATTGGCATATTGGAAAAAAACATCCATGGAACCTTCGTTATAGTGGAAAAGGATCTTCACAATCAGGAAAAAAATGGTTCTTTAGGTAACAGGTGTAAGTGAATATTTCAGCCCATAACCCAGAGGTTTTTCCCATGCTCACACCTGCTGCCATCACCTGAGGGCCGAGAGCCCCAAAAAGAGCAAAGGAAACAGGTAGAAAGATGGATGAAGAGAGACGTATCTCCTTTCGCAATCATTGGTCATCCTTCAGGCCTTGTTATCCAAGCAGAAGTGGCCGTGTTCAGCTTGATTCACGGCCGCTTTGATGCCTTTATGTGGGCGGTTATTTTCCGTCCCATTGTGCCTCTGCTTGATTATCGCCTAAAGCTGCAGGCTACAGGAAAGATGGATTCAAAATGTGAGCTGGTCTAGTTACAAGCAGGAGTCGATTCTCTCCTGCAAGGACTTCTGGGTAATAGAAACCCTACTTGCTTCTGCAATTCTGACGTGTCGTATGATGATTCTCTCTCAGTGCCTCGGTCTGGATCTATTTATGTCTGTGGCTATCAAATCCTGTAACAGTCGTATTTTCACCAAAGAGTTTGTTGTGATCGTTGATTATGACTGAGATGGATCAAGAATCCAAATCAAGCTAAATTAAGATTTGCTGGCCCAAAACAAGACCAAAAACATATCTATTTATTTCCACAGTATCAGTACTGATCGTTATTGTGTGTTGCCTTGAACAGTCTATTGACTTTAAGGTTCTATTCCAAAACCTAACTCTTAAAAATAAAGGTTCTTTATTGGCATATTGGAAAAAACATCCATGGAACCTTCGTTATAGTGGAAAAGGATCTTCACAATCAGGAAAAAAATGGTTCTTTTAAGAACTGTTCACTTAAAAGGTTCTTTGAGGTTCATTGCTGAGAAAACGCTCTTGTAGAACCTTTATTTTTAAGAGTGTACTGAGCTCCCTACATAGGCAGCACAGAATCTGTACCAAAACTTAAGCGGCGTAAATAGGCCTGTGGGTTTCTCCCTATGTGAAATGTTCCAGATCAGTCACTTATTTGAAGGCAGATGCCTATGTAGGCGTCAATGAAGCTCAACAGGTTTTGGAACGTAACCCACGATGTTGCCAGTGAAGTGAATATCACTGAAGGCCACGAGTCGGTGGTGTTTGTAAAATGCACAGATTGTAATCATGCTGAAAGAGCTAAAAAGCACAACACACTCCTGTAGAACAAATTGTCTTTTTCAGTCATTATATGTTTGTAATTTTGGTTCTGAAATATGCTCTTTTGTTCCTTCATTGTGTGCTAATGATGTATTTTTTTAATGCATTTTAATAAAAAAATAAAAAAAAGATCAGGATTTGCTTGTGATTTTAGAATTTTATTTACTTGTTAATGTTTTTGTAATTCAGCCATTGATTTTACAATGCCGCAAAAAGTTATACGAATTAAATTTCCTCGATATTTCCAAAATTCAATGGTGTCATTTGTTTGAGATCATGTAAGTTTAAAGGTTTGACATATTTTTGTCACTTATAGTTTTACAGACAGAAATGAAACTACTTCTAACTTTTAAAACGATGTACATTTACATAGTCTACAAACTTGTCTACACAAAATATTTACAGTACTAAATAAAAAGTAATAAACAAATTAAAAAAATTGAAAAGTCACTACTATTCAAAGGTTTGAGGTTGGTAAGATTTTTAATGTTTTTGAAATAAGTCTCTTATGCTCATCAAGGCTGCATTCATTTAAACAAAATTACAGTAAAAACTTTAATATTGTGAAATATTTTATATTGCTATATTACTATTATTATTACTTTATTACTATATTAATATGACTAAATATTACTATATTTTCTATTTTAATATTTTATGAACTTTAATTTATTTCTGTGATTAAAGTTGAATTTTCAGCATCATGACTCCAGTCTTCAGTGTCACGTGATCCTTCAGAAATCATTCTAATATGCTGATTATTTATTATTATTATCAATATTGAAAACAGTTGTTTTCGTGGAAACTGTGATAGATTTTTTTATGATTCTTTGATGAATGGAAAGCTGATTAGTTCAGCATTTATTGGAAATAGAAATCTTTTGTAACATTTTCAATGTCTTTACTGTCACTTGTGATCAATTTAATGCATCCTTGCTGATTAAAAGTACAATTTTAAAAAATAAATACATAAATCTGACAGGCCCCATTTAAACAGTAGTGTAAGTGGCCTAGAAAAAGCTTTTACTCTACACAAATCATAGCAATTATACTCTGCTAAATCTGTTACATGACTAAATGTAAATGTAGCTGAAGAAATAAATTGTCTCAAATTAAACTGTCAAACTTCACATGCCTTGCTTATAACCCTCAAATGTGAAGGTTTGTTTTTTCAAACAGTCAAACCAACATTCAAAGTTTGTCTTGACAAACCTTCCTTCTCTAAGTGAATGTCAGTATGTTTACGTGTGGGCGTGCTTTCTGTCACTTAACTTGAAGTTCTCTCTAACAGGTTCTCACTTCACACAATCATAGCTGAGCTCAGTTTTCACGCCTTCCACCTGACAAACAGCAGCTGCTCGATATCTTCACATGTGAACGATGTTTGAAGATTCACACGTTTCTTCAGATTTAACTGTACCATCTGAAACCCCTCAGGACACAAACACAGAGTTCTGCTGCTCGGATCGTGTTCAAATGTAATGCGAATGTAAACATGGCCACTCTTCCAAACCTGTCATGCAGTCAGCAGGCATTACTGTCAGAACAGGCAATTACTGGAAAAGACTCAATTGGATGCGGTCACTTGCATCACCCTCAGCGGGATGTAAATATAGACAGTGAATTCACCTAATGAGGTGTGTTAAAGGGGTCCTATTATGCGTTTTCACTTTTTCAACTTTTCGAACAACCTAGTATGAGAGCCTGTTCTAGTACACCCCCAAAACAAAATCAAGACTTTGTAAAAGAGCATAATAGGACCCCTTTAAGTGAATATGACGGGGTTGACCGGTGTGTGCTGCATTTCAACATAAGGACTCTACTGTCATGTTTTTGGCATTGTAGGGGAACATGCTGTTATTGCACAAACTTGACTTTGGTTTTTTTTCGCAGTCCGAAGGCGGGCCTTCATTTGATACAGGAACTATTCGAGCCGTTCATGCCAGACTGGGGAGAGAGGTATTGTAATAATGTAAAATATGTGAAAAATAATGTGTTTTTCGAACAACCTAGTATGAGACCCTGTTCTAGTACACCCCCAAAACAAAATCAAGACTTTGTAAAAGAGCATAATAGGACCCCTTTAAGTGAATATGACGGGGTTGACCGGTGTGTGCTGCATTTCAACATAAGGACTCTACTGTCATGTTTTTGGCATTGTAGGGGAACATGCTGTTATTGCACAAACTTGACTTTGTTTTTTTTTCGCAGTCCATCTATCTATCTATCTATCTATCTATCTATCTGTCTGTCTGTCTGTCTGTCTGTCTTGTCCATCATGAATGTAACATCAGTGAGTTGTTGGTGTTTCCAGTCATTCATGTTTTTGGAATCTTATATTTTGGTTTCAAATAAACACTACAATTAGAATCATAACTTTTATTTTCCTATTGAACCCCATGTTACAGTCACTCTCCCATAGAGTGCAGATAAACGTCAAGCTTTTAATTAACTAAAGCTCAAGGCAAGTACTGATACACAGACCATGATGCAGGAAAGTGTTTCTCTTTCTAACACAAACTTTATAAACATGTGGCTATCGGAAAATCTCCCATCTTTTCCAAGTCTTTTACCTCAGAGTATCTTTTTCCTATATAAGGTTTGGGACAGGAAAGCAGAAGTCTTTGATAATTTTTGACCCTACACTGTATATATATTTCTTTATATAATCTCCCAAAGGAATTTTTAAGAAGTGAAATGAGGCCTAGTCACAGGATAAGCTTCTTTCTCTGAGAAACATCTGAAGTATAAGGAAATTTAACACAATTTTATCATAAACTTTAATTAAATATCGTTGAAGTTATTTCAATAAAGACATCTATGCTGATACAAAAGATTTCTGTTTCAAATAAATGCTTTCTCTTCATCAAAGAATCCTTAAATCTATCACAGTTTCCACAAACATATTAACTGTTTTCAACAATAATAATAAGAAATGTTTCAAATCAGCATATTAGAATGATTTCTGAAGGATCATGTGACACTGAAGACTGCAGTAATGATGCTGAAAATTCACCTTTGTGTCACAAGAATAAATTACATTTTAAAATAGATTCAAAAAGAAAACCATTATTTTAAATTGTAATATTTCACAAGTTTTTACTGTATTTTTGATCAAATACATTCAGTTTTAGTGAGCATTAGAGACTTCTTTGAAAAACAATAAAAATCTTACCGACCCCAACAGGGTTTTGGAACGATAGTGTATATATATTTTTACATTCTGAAAAACAACTTCATCTTTATTAACTGTGGCTGTGGGAAGGCGGCTTCACTTGGTTTAAAACACATAAAAGAAAAAGTAGGACGAAGACAAACAAGAGCTGATATATTTTGGAAAAATAGGGGACTGTCAAAAGTGGCTTTGGTTTCTCATGGAAACCACTTCCTGATTCATGAGGGAGCCCTCTGGTACCTGCATCCATACGAAACCCATTACAACTGTACTGACCTCTCTCTTCCCAGCCTCCGTGAGAAGAGGGAACAAGCGGGCTGGAACCGGTTTGCTTCGGGAGCCCGTGAGCGCGGGACTATTTTTTAACTGGACCGGAGAAAAACAGACTGGGATGGGAAAGAGAAGCCGTGTCCAAAATCACGATTCCCACACAGAGACCGTGAAACAGAGACCACAGGGACCAAAAACTGATGATTATTCTCACATTCCCACTCATGAGGGGACAGAGACCAAAGATGACTTCTTCTGAATTTAAGAAGTAATGGGGAAAAGACAGAAGAGAACGAGTAACAATCATCTTATCAAAACTCAGCAGCACAGACACCAACCAAATAGAGACTTTGCTTTTGTCTGCTGCATGTCAGATTTTTCCTCATATATCATACATAATCTTATTTCTCAAACTGTGCTCAGATTTGACATCTTTAATCACAAGTCACATGATCTCAAAATCATCAATTCTTCCAAAACTAAATGATCTGAGCTGCTATCAACATTAATTTTATAGCTCTAAATTAATACTGTTTGTCA